AGTACAGTCTGGCCGCCACCCGATCCCGAAGTTGTATGATATAGATACTCTAGAGCTATTTGACTATTAGATGCTAACTTCTCATTAGATGGGCTATTACCCAGCGCCAATCCTATATGGGCCGTCAAATTTTACAAACATGCATGGCGAAACCGCAGGTGTGACAGAAGCTCCACAGGTGCCACAGGTGAGGGAGGATAATAGTGGGAACAACGAGAAAGGATCCCAGGGGTGGAGGAGGAGCGCTAGTCTGGTCGCGTTCGTCCCAAAGCCAGGCTGTGGGCGAGAAAGATCGGCCTCGAGTGTGTGACCTACGCCCCGAGCGTGGGACATGTCCCGTCTGCGGTAGAGTCTCAACTGCTGAAATATTCAATTTGGCAATAAACCAGTTTCTCAACATGTATCCCGGAGGGACATTCGGCAGCAATGCCGCCATGCATGATTTGACAACCCAATTCCAGTCTCTAGATCTAGAGCTTGATGATGTAGATACTCCTATAGTATTGATTTCAGTCCTGAGACGCCGAATAATACACTGGAACTGGCGAGCCATCAAAGCATACTCAGCGAGAACGGCGATCCTAGGGAGCATTGCATGAAAGTCGGGTCTGGCCGAAACAGCCAGGAAAGCCGCCAGGTATGATCCGATGCCCTTGCCCTTCGACTTGTACGTAAAAACGCTGTCGCCTACTTCATGAAGAACTATCAGGCGACGTTGTCGGGATGGATATCGCTTGTAATCAAAACATCACTACCTATTGGTGTCGTGAGCTCAGATCCCCGAGTCATCACTGCGTTCAGAGTGCTCGACAGCGCTATTAGCAAGCCTGGAGTGCTCTCGCGACTTGCATACATCCAACTGATTCGCACCTTTCGGACACTCGAGGAGATGATTGCTGAAGACAGGCAGTGCGGTCGCATCCATCGAGAGGTTGGTTATCGGAATGCCAGTGTCGCTGTAAATATCTACATGAGCGCCCAAGACAGTAGGCCTGATGTAAACGCCCTGAGGCGCGAGCTTCTAGAGAGAAAGCGAACTGGGCGGAGGTGGACCGAGCTGGCTGGACCTTCACCACTGTGCCTTCTGTTATACTCCGGCGAGTCTGAGATATTGTGTGCGTTCCTCCCAACCTATAAGCTTGATAATACTGATGTTCGTAAAGCAAGAACTTCTCGGCGTTCGACGACGCAGCGCTCGGCCTTGCAGCGACGTCTGTTTTCGAAAACGCTCCGGTCGAACTTATACGCACTTGCCTGTATCTCTCACAGACCGCGGAGGTTGCGACAGTGAGTGGCCGATCATTCAACATCCACCAGGCACGGTACGTCGTCGAGAACATGAGGCAGGCTTTGCTTGATAGCGTATTGTAGGGTTTAGATGCCAACTACATAGGCGTGCTTTAATACCTTGTCGTGGCTATTTGGATACCTGGACCCTCGCCGTGGTCGGCCACGCCCGTGGAAAGTTGTTTCGCTGTGAGGGTTTGTTTCGCTGTGAGGGTTTGTTTCGCTGTGGGGTTTGTTTCGCTGTGGCGGGCTAATTCGCTGTGGCAGGCTATTTCGCTGTGGCGGCTGCGCGGCTGTTTTGAGTATGGAGCTATATGAACAGTGCTGTTAGTCAGCCCGCAACATAAGACTGAGACATTTCAGACCATGGGCTCCAACTTCCTGTCTCCACCAATGCTCAAAGAGTGAATTTTTCTCGAGAACAATGATCGAATTCAAATACGTAAGCGTCGTGCTCTTGCGTATGATGTGGGGCTCTGTGTCTGCCGAGCTCGCTGTCGGACGCACCAGTGCTGGTGCTGGGGGAGATTGGCACGAGGGAGCGAATATTGACGCAGTTTCTCCGGAACACATCAACTAACCAATCCAGGCACCACATTTCGGAACTGACCAATCCATGTACAAGAAACATATGTCCAATCGAGGACCTTAATAAGAGGGCGCCGAGTGCCAAGGCTGAGGCCTAGTGTTAGCCTCGCCCGTCCAACATCGGCACGAGGGCACTTAGGGGTGAAGCTTTAGATGCGGAGAAAAGGACTTGAACCCGCTCTACCTTGATAGCGAAAGAGAGTATTTTTCTAGAGCTCGCCCTTTAGGGAGGAAAATTAGCAAAAACAACATCTACGCTCAAGCTCTCGCTAGGTGCAATCCACGGCGCAGTGCTTTATGATCGCGTGCTCAAAGCCGAGGGTGGCGCCATCTTCTACACCCTCGCCCTCGTCTTAAAAGATATACTCGTGGCGCCTTACAGGGTATGGAATGTCGAAGGAGTGGCTGACCGGGAGATCTGGACGGCCGAACTTCTACACCCCCCGGTTGGTTCACCTGGACAAGGAAGCCGACTCAGATGATAGAGCAAGGAGCACCAGCAGCAGCGGCAGCAGTACCTAGACCACGTGCCGGA